CCCGAGGCGGGGTTCAAACTCACAAGCCATGAGATCATGACCTGAGCCGGCTCAACCGCTCAACCGACTGAGCCACCCAGGTGCCCCCAGAGTGGGTAGTTTCTAACCCCTCGTGTTCTGTAAGCTGGCTGACCAGTGTCTTTGATCCGCAGGTCAGGGTTTGGAAAAGAAGTGATACATGTTGGGCCAAAGATCCCTTTCCTCCCTCAGCTTCAATGGTGGCCCCTGTCCACCTCTCCCTTTCTCCCCAGGGTAGATCACAGGTCCCAAGAGGGAGACAGAGTTCATACTGTTACACAGATGAGAAAACCAAGGCTCAAAGAAATAATGAAAACCATGAGGGTCACACAGGGAGTGGCAGACCTTGGCACTAGAGGCCTGGTCTTCTGGGTCCAAGACAAGCGTTAGTGATCTTGTTCTGAGTTGGTCTCCCGTCCCCACGGCTGGTCTGTAAGCCTCATGAGGACAGGGGCCCTGGTACCCCCAACCCCCACCCAACATATACCTCACATGGCCTTGCACAGCACACCCTGCACTTCGTAGAGATTTAGTAAATGCTCCTGATAAGTTCTGGACTCCTGAAATGCTAGAGCTGCACTGTCTAGACTCAGCCTCTTACTGTGAAGCTCGAGAAGCTGAGGCCCAGAGAGGAGACGGGACCTGTCCGCAGAGGGAACAGGCCAGGCAGAGCAGGGATTAAGGCGGGCGCCCCTGACTGTCTTCCAGGGTCTGTCTTGTCACCATGCACAGTTGTCCTCCCCTTCAGCCCCAGAGAGTGGTGAGAGGGATGGGGGGGGGGCCTTGGCGGCCCTCTCTGGGGGCCCCTTCTACCGTGTAACCTAGGAGAGGCATCCACTGTTCATCTGTCAAGTCCTGGCCCTGTGGTCTCTGATCCTCACAGCAACCCCTCGAGGAAGGGCTTGCTGTCTCCATTTTCGGTGAGAAAACGGGCTCAGGGAGAGGGAGTCGCTTCCCAGAGTTGCCCAGTTTGGCATGTGACTGCTTCCCAGTGTTGCAGCTCCTTCAAATCAGGGAACTGATCCCAGAATGCCAGTTTTTGTCTTCAGCCCCAACTCTGATCAGTGGGTAGAGGCCTCCTAGAGCACCGTGTCAGGAATAGCTCGGAGGCCCTGTGCAGGGCCCCAGGAAGTGGTGCTGTGATTGATTCGTGACCTCTGCAGTGGATAGGGCTATAGGTAAGATCAAAAGGCACCACCTTTCCATTATGTGGCCTCCACCCCCGGGGGCCCCATTTCTCTATAGGAACGTTCGACTTTGCCTTCACAGTCCCCTCTGAGGCTGATAAGGACCATCATTTCCATCCCAGACTCATAGTCTAAGGAACTGGTCCAGAGATGTAAAATGACTTGCCTGGTTCACCCTGCAAATTAGTGTCCAAGGTTTCTGGCTGTGAAGGCCTTCTCTGCCCACCACACTGAGGCTGGTGGTTTTTGTCAAGGGGAACTCCCATTACTCATCCCTTCCCAGAGCCAGCAGCGCTGTTGAGAAACTCGGGCCTCCCAGGAAAGAATCGCTCTTCCAGAGGGTGCCGATAAGAGCTTGGACACGTCTGATACGTGTGTGCCGAAGCAAGGAAGAAGAGAGATGGGGCAGCCCCCGCCCTCCGCTGGTGCCCACGCACCTGCTCCCTGTCTGTGGAGGAAGGCGGGGGAGCCCACACTGCATTCTCCCCATGTGCTAGGAAGGCTGCCAGGTGCCGCCCTGCCATCGTTTCATTTCGTCCCCATGATAGTCCCGGGAGGTGGCTATTAATATCTCCATTTTACAGATGAGGAGACTGAGGCTCAGAGATAGTAGCTACACAAGATCAGAGATGGCCACGGGGCACTCTTTCAGGAGGCTTTGTTACTATGTTTGCCAGTGTGTTGCATGCATTTTTTTACCGTAAGAGAGGAAATAGGGGTAGAAAAGGAGATTAAGCCATGCTTAAGTCACTCAACGGTTCTGCCATCTAAAGAGAAACTACTGTTGTATGGATAGATTTTCTTCTAGACTTTCCAAAATTAGGATCTGGGTGGTGGTTGTTGTTCTTAATGCATAGTTATCATTTTCCTAGACATGCAATTTATCCTTACGATACCTAGCATTATGGCATCAGCCCCCTCTGTGAAGCCGCAGGCTTTTCTGAACATGACTTTTATGACTTTGTAAGATCCCCAGGGGACTTCCTGAGTCTCAGCAGCCATCCCGAGCGGGCTGGGAAGCCCTAGGCCTGGAATGAGCAGACCAGAGCCTGAACGCCACCTCCTCACGGGGAATCCGTGGACAAGTCACTGCACACTGGGTCACAGCCGCCTCATCACTAAAGTGCCAGATTTCATGCCCTGCTCTGCCGCCCTCATGGCATCAAACGAGCGGAGGCCTTTTGTAAACTCTAGAGAGCTGTGCCCCTCGCAGGAATTGTCCTTATCTTCCCTCGGTCTCCTTCTGAGAAAGTTCTGCCTTCCCCTTGGCCCCTGAGCCTTTTGCTAAGGGCTTAGAGCAATAGTGGCAGACCCTAGCATCTCCGAGACATGCATACATAAGGCATCCCTCCCAGAGGGGACATCTCCTCAGAGCAGGACAAGGGCACTGACCCTCAAAGACCACCAACCCACACACCTCTGCCTTTGCCCCCTTCTGGGTCCACGTTGTAAGGCATCTCAGGGGTTTGTTTCTCCCTTCTTTCAACCTCCTAGGAGACCTCTGAGAGGCCTCTGGGCTCTCCTGTGACCTCATGAAAGCCCCAGAACCACTGAGTGGCAGCCAGAGGTGGCCTTACAACTCTCGCCACTTAGCTCTTCTTTTCTCAGCTAATACAGAAGTGCGTGTTCCACTTGAACCAAACCAGTTATAAGGTCACCGAGGCCTGAATTCAGTTCCAGGCTCTGTCCCCTTCCCTTCCGCGTCCTCGGTTTACTCTAAAATGGACACAAGATGCTGACCTTCTGGAGTGACCGCAGATGTGGGAGAGAATGTGAGTCCGGCACTAGCCCATAATGGGGACAGGCCCCGACTGTCCCCGTCAGCACTTTCCACTGCCAGTGTGAGGCCCGGAGCAGTGGCCCCTGTGCAGGGCTGAGCGAGGACCTTGTCTGGGCTGCCCTGGGAGCACTGGCGAGCACAGTCATCCAGGTGGGTCTCGATCTGTGCTCCTGCTCCCTTTACGTCTGCTGTTGTGTCTCCAGCGGCCCAGGAATGACCACCTTGCATTCGTGCACAGCTCTTCACAGTTTGCATTGCACTTTGGTGGGAGTTGAATCACCTGACCTGAGGAGGGCAGGGCAGGGATTATTGCCTGTGGTACAGAGGAGAGGCTAAGGCCCGGGGAGGGCAGTAAGAGGCCCCTGCTCTGGAGGGAAGGTTTGGGCTGTGTCTGGGCTGCCGGTTACATAAGCAGGAGCTCACGAGGGGCCATCTGGCATTTAATAGGCACATTGTATAATCACCTTGGGGAACCAAAGCGCAATCTCAGGGCCATTGTGTGTGTGTGTGTGATGTTTGTTTAAACCCCAGGAAGGGTGGGTATGGACAAATAGGCTTGGCAGGGAAGGTGGGGCTCTGAGTGGTAATGAACCCCTGTGGTGAGAAGCTCACCCAACAGAACAAAGGGGGCCTGGAGCAACTCAATATTTTCCTTTTGGTTCCAGACAACTGGAACACTCTGTCCTGCCTCAGTTGGGACAAAGTCCAGGATGCACCTGGGCCGGGTTTAATCCTCAAATTGGCCTCTACAAAAGAAAGGGGTGGGAGAGGAGAGGCCCACAGAGGGGGGCGGAGAGAAGAGCCCCACTTCTCGCTGTCCCTGTGCAGAGCCAGAGTGTGGATCAAATGGCGGCCCCTTTAAAGTTTCATGTAGGGCTAGTAATGCTATCCTGCTTCTCCCTCCCCTCTACCCCCGCCCTGAAGGCCAGTAGGGGCAGGTGGGGAAGGGGAGACTGGGCAGGGGGGCAGACCAGGGCCACGCCAGGTGAAGAGACCTGCTGGGGTGAGGCAGGGTGCCTTCTGTCTCCCAGGTGGAGTGGTCACTGTGTGGCAGGACGGGGGGGAAACCACAGACTGTCCCGTTAGAGGCCTTCATTACTCAACCTTCTCTCTCATCCCCCTGTGAGCCCCTCCCCCAGCACCTCTGTCCATGGAGCTACGGTGGGTGTGAGCTCAGGCTCTGGGTCACACAGATGCGCGTGGGTGTGAGGAATGAAGGTGACAACACACATGCAGGTCTGGCGTCGCTGGCAGCTGCTGTTAGAATCGTACAGGGAGGGAAACCGAGGCCAGGGGAGGGTAGTGGCTTGCGTCATGGCAAGTGGCAGTGGGAAGAGCGCCTCGTGGGCCTGTCTCCACTGGCCACCTGACCAGCCCTGCTTGAGGCAGCAGATGAAAATAGCGGAATTGGGGCTGAGCAGGCGTGGGTTCTCGTCCTGCCCTGCTTTTTACCAGTTTGGGATAAAACCCAGGTCCTCTCTGAGCCTCTAGTCCTTCTTCCATATGAGGGAGTCAGCCCAGCTGCCTGCCCTGGGTTAAAGAAAGGGCCAAAGAGGCATAACAGCTGTATCAGCTTTGGGTAGGGAGGGACAGGGTGGGGGGTTGGGGGGAAGGGGCTTGGGACAAGTGTCCCCAGAGCCCACCTGGAAGTCTAGACACAGGGTCCCCAATTGGAATGAACTTTGCTGCTTCTAGAGGACAGGCCAGGGAGAGGGCTTAGGACTGTGGACTCAGCTATTGTTACCCACAAGAGGGGTAAGGTGGGTAGTCAATGCAGGCCCCCCTTATAGGGCGAGACCTCCGTCTGAGCGGATGGAGTATGGGTCTCAGTCGTGGTTCCAGCCACTGCCAAAGCACGACAGTGAGTCATGCCTCCCCTGTACTCCATCTAGTTCCATCCCCCTTACGTGTGGCCATGCATAGCTTTCTGAACCTTTGCATTCTCAGTTCCGTCTTGGTGAAGTAGCTGCCTTGCGGTGTCTGTAATTGTGAAGGTTAAGTGGGGCCAGGCCGTGATGGCGGGTAGCGTAACAGCCAGCTCATGGCGCACGCTCAGAGCTGGATGGAGCACCCTGACCCCCTCCTCAGCAGGGCCTAGGGCAAGACCAGCCCACGGACCCTCGCCCATCAGAGCCGGAGGGGCCAGACCCATCCAGTCCAGGGGGTTTCGGGCAGGGTTCCTCAACATCCTACGGCAGGACTGGTAAGGAGGCCTGGAAAATTCCAAGTCCCCACCCTCATGTCAGCCAGAACATGCCCATTTTGCTCGGCTAATCTTTTTCTAAGAAAGCCTTCTGCTGCTTTCAGTTTACAATCCACCCACCCGGCCTTTTATCACACAGATGGAGAGACTGAGGCCAGAGAGGAATGGGGACCCGGAATTATACGAGGAAGGGTGTTCGGGGAAAGCGTCCTGGGAGGACAGGACTGGTGGTGGCAACTTCCAGCTGGGCCTAGATATGCTGGCCCGTGTCTTACGTGGTAGGCCAGAACCACCTGGTGTGGGGTGCCCGCTGCCGTCCCTCACCTGTGGCTCTCCTTCCAGCCCCCACCATGCCGTGGCCCCTGCTGCTGCTCCCACTGCTGCTGCTGCTGGCCGTGAGCGGGGCCCAGACGACCCGGCCATGCTTCCCCGGATGCCAGTGTGAGGTGGAGACCTTCGGCCTCTTCGACAGCTTCAGCCTGACACGCGTGGACTGCAGCGGCCTGGGCCCCCACATCGTGCCTGTGCCCATCCCTCTGGACACAGCCCACTTGGACCTGTCCTCCAACCGGCTGGAGACCGTGAACGAGTCGGTGCTGGCAGGGCCGGGCTATACCACGCTGGCAGGCCTGGATCTCAGCCACAACCTGCTCGCCAGCATCTCGCCCACCGCCTTCTCCCGCCTTCGCTACCTGGAGTCGCTCGACATCAGCCACAATGGCCTGGCAGCTCTGCCGGCGGAGAGCTTCACCAGCTCGCCCCTGAGCGACGTGAACCTCAGCCACAACCGGCTCCGAGAGGTCTCGGTGTCTGCCTTCACGACCCACAGCCCGGGCCGGGCGCTGCACGTGGACCTCTCCCACAACCTCATCCACCGCCTGGTGCCCCACCCTGCAGGGGCCAGCCTGCCCGCACCCGCCATTCAGAGCCTGAACCTGGCCTGGAACCGGCTCCGCACCGTACCCGACCTCCGGGACTTGCCCCTGCGCTACCTGAGCCTGGATGGCAACCCGCTGGCTGCCGTTGGCCCGGGTGCCTTCAGGGGGCTGGCAGGCCTCACGCATCTGTCACTGGGCAGCCTGCAGGGGCTCCCCCAGCTGGCGCCCCATGGCTTCCGTGAGTTGCAAGGCTTGCAGGTCCTGGACCTTTCAGGCAACCCCAAGCTCAAGTGGGCGGGAGCTGAGGTATTCTCGGGCCTGGGCTCCCTGCAGGAGCTGGACCTGTCAGGCACGGGCCTGGTGCCTCTGCCTGAGATGCTGCTCGTCCACCTGCCAGCACTGCAGAGCATCAGCGTGGGCCAGGGCGTGCGGTGCCGGCGGCTAGTGCGGGAGGGCGCCTATCCTCGGCAGCCTGTCTCTAGCCCCAAGGTGGCCCTGCACTGCGTAGACCCCCGGGAAAGGGCTGCGGAGAGCCCCAACGCTTTGTGACAAACGGTGTGGCCCGGGGCCGTCTGACACACTGCTGCCCTGGGCTTCCTCGGGGCCTGGGTAATTTATATTTTCATGTGCCAATGCCAGGGGGCACCCTGCAGGCCTCTGTAGCAGCGCGGAAGAGAGCTGTGGACCTAGGGAGAGCTTTGGGGCTGGGGCCGACACCCAGGAGCAAAGTCTGGCCCCTCTGTCTGTGTTGCTCCCCAGACCATAAGTAGAAGGTCTTAGATGCCAAACCCAGACGGCAGTCCCCTGCCGTCCTTCCCCGTTTGTCCCCAAAGTGCCTTCCTTCAGGCCTGGGCCAACCTGACCTGTGACAGGGGGAGGGTGGAAGGGCGATACTGCTGCAGAAAAGAGGTCAGGCCCACGGCTGAGCATCCCCTTGGGCCCACGGTCCAGTCACTCAGGGGCGTGAGTTTCTTTTATGAGGTAGCCCCCGCTTTGCCCTGGGCCCATGAGGCCCACCTCATCCTTTTCTTTTCCTCTAGAACGCTGGGTAGAACCTTAGTCATAGAAGGGACTAGAGAAAAAAAATCAAGTGCACCTCCTCATGTGACAGGTGGGGACACTGAGGTCCAGAGAGGGCAAATGGCTAATCTAAGGCACTAGAGCCATGGAGACGTAACCGGCCCCAGCATCCTGCCTCCCAGCGAGGCCTTTTGCACTTTTCTGTCTTCTCTAAATCATGCCCTCTGTCCCCTTCCTGGGCTCCCCCATCCTGCCGTTTGTACCCTTTCCCTGTCGTCCCCAGGACAGGCAAGGGCCTCCGAGGTGGGACTCGGACCCGAGACCCGCTGTGTGGCACAGGTTAAGTGAGTTCACCTCAGAGCCTCTGGAAGCTTCAGGCATGCCAGTCGCAGCCCTACCAGTTTCCCACTCTGCAGTGGGGTCCTCCAGCGTTGAGACTGGACATTCGTCCATTGACCCCTGCGGTACTGCCTCGAAGTGCAAGGAGTTGATGCAGTCCTGGAGCCCCAAGGGGCCTCCTGGACTCGGTCCCCACTGGCCCTGAGCCCAACAGCCTCTCTCACCCATCTTTGGGCAGGAGGCAGGTACCCCCATCAATGTTTATGCTCTCAGCTTCCCAGCCCTGGGCTCTTTCCTTTGTATTTGTTCTATAAAAGTTGTTGCCTTTGTAATGGACTGTTACTTCAACCACCCCTCCCCCCACCCCTGCCGGCAGGGGATGGAAACGTGTCATTTGTAAAAGAAGAAAAAACATTGC